TGTAAGGGGTATACCATACTATATTCATTGGAACCCACAAATTACGTAAATAGAAACATCACTCATTACGTTCCTCGAATCAACTTAACCGAAGACGATCGTTGTATTCTAGTAACAAACTATTTACGCCATAAAACGGTGTCGCTTCTGTAACCTATAAAACTCACAGATATCGATCTAAGCGAATTAAAGTTCAACAGCAAAAAACTCAATGAACTCGACGGACAACTAACTCATCGTCTAAAGGAGCCGTTTATCGTTATCCATATCAATTGGTACACGATAATCCTAGGAGTAGTAGTTGCCATTCTAATCCTTATCCTTTGCCGAATCTGCTGTCGCTGGCTTGGCTGTTGGAACCTGCTCAAACACCTCTGCTCGTTCACCAGGAGTCCCAGAACAGGGGAAATCATACCACCAATAATTAAAAATTTTGTTCACTGTAATTTTGATTCTAGCAATCATAGTGAACACAGGGACCATTCCAATGACATGGTCCTGTTTGAACGGCGTAGAGGGGTACAACGTACTTCGGAACAAACAACACCTACTGTCATCATCGAGGAGAGGACCATGCATCGGTATCAACCCATTTTTTTTTCTTTTTTTTTTTACGTGGAGGAAATCTGATAACAGACACCTGCCACCCGACCGGGGGTGCGGGTGGAAGGCAGTGTGGGGTTATACCCACTAAAACCTCCACGGCAACCTTCGGACGTTCTACCAACACTGGCGATTCAGGAGGAGCCGCGTGATCTCTTATAGAACGCTGCCGCGGCTCCCTCTCGCCTAGGTCGACTATCTGGTAGCTTATGGCCAGTCGCGTCCCGAGGGGGGAAGATTCTGTCACCCTTTCCCACCACCCAATCTGCGGTGCAGGGAGGCCGCGCCCCGCACCGCTAAATCTCGGCGGCCGCATTTCTAGCATACCCAGGGCCTCCGCCCTGGGTATCGTGACCGCCATCACGATCGGCATTCAGGTTGCCGCCCCCCCCTCTCCCGTCACCATTCATCTCGGTGATCAGCTGGCGGCGGAGGTTGTCTACAACCGTCCCCGCCATCAGCTGACATTATTAGTCCGGGGGCCCGACGGCGCGACCTCTACCAGGTCGCCGCAAGCCCCAGTTCCTTCGAGCGGGATCGGTCAACTCCCGATCCCGCTCTGCGGCTTCCTTCTGCGAGATAACCTCTTCGCAGAAGGAGACCACCGCCCTCCAGTTCCCCTCGTTCTCCAGCATAGCTCCAACTACTGCTGAGAGCGAGAGGTCATGTCCGATTTGGACCCGTAGGACTCAACGCTGCGCTGAAAAGGGGGGGGGGGGGAATTCCTTCAGCGTATGCTGCGCTGAGTGTTCCCTATGCGACACAGGTAGACACCGAAGCAGCCCTGCCCGGTGAATACCTGCGTCGCCCGGTAGGTGAGAATTCCGTGCCGCCTCTCCTGCCACCTTTTGAAATGTGGCAGGAGAGCCCCAGCGACGCGCTCGCCGGCGTGGGAGCTCAGCTCCAGACGCCAATTCGCGAGCGCCAGTCGCCAGGCCTGGCGTTCGAATCCCTCGACCGTCTCCGTCTTTGGCTCCGGCGGAGTCCCCCGAACAAGGCGGGTAGCATGCACGCGCGCATAGACTGACATGCGTGCAGCCGCCTGCAGTTCGAAGGGTATTTCACCCGCTAGAGCCTGCGCCGCCACGTAGGAGATGGTGCGGTACCCGCGGATGACCCTTATGGCCATCCGCCTCTCCAGCCGGCGCAGCAGTTGTTTAATGCGCCGGCTTGCCATCGCGTCTGAGGCCCATACTGGGGCCCCGTACAGCATCATAAACCGCACCATTGCCATATATAGGCGGCGCACACGATCCTCAGGTTACCCTATATTGGGCAAAGGGCGGCCAAGCGCGGCCGCCGCCCTTTCCACACGGGGGACCAGACGGTCGAAGTGCGCCTCGAAACGCCAGTGGCTGTCTAGGACGAGGCCGAGGTATTTGATTCGGCTCCCGACCTCGACAAAGGCTCCACCCACACGGACCTACGACCTGGGCAGTGGCCGTGACCGAGGCCCGCCATGAAACCATATGGCCTCGGTCTTTTCAGAGGCCACACGAAGCGCTAGCCCGCGGATCCTAGCGACAACTGCCACCGCCATCTCTGCACGGCGGATGGCGCCCTCGAAAGTGCTCCCGACGGCAACTACTAACGGGTCGTCTGCAAAGCAGACAAGACTGGCACCGTCGGAAAGCGGGGCCGCAGGACCGCATCATAGCCGAGGTCTCACAACAACGGGCCCAAAACTGAGAGTAGTAAAGAGAGGCGGGTTCTAACTCAGGAGCTCCAAAGGGGGGGGGGGGCGAGGGCAAGGAGGGAAGGGGGAACCGAGGGCGAGGGGGAGGGAGCACGAGTGGTGGTGGTGGTGGGGGTCGTTAATTATTACCTACGGTCGGTAAGGTAGGATGCAATTATTACTTACGGTCGTTAAGGTAGGTAACACCACCGGTTGGTAATTATCAGTGATCGGTAAAACAGAAAAACGCAAATTTTACATGTAACGAAATAAGCGCGTAAGGGTGGGGAAAATCGTCCTTCCTCTTGGCGCGCAAGAGTGGGGGTGTTTTTTCTGGCCCCGCGGGTCCCTCTCTCTCTCTCTCGCACCCAAGCATTTTCTTCCTCGCACTCATACCCTTTTACCCGTGCAACACGTAAGATTAGAAAAAATGAGGTAATTAACATAGGTAATTATCAGAGATCGGTAAAAAAGAAGAAGAAAAACATCAATTGTTCGACGTTTGGTAAGTATTATTATCGTTATCAGAGATCGATAAGAAAGAAAAACGCAAATGGTACATGTAACGAAATAAGCGCGCACGCTGTAATGGTGGGGGAAACCATGCTCGTCGTCTTCGCGGGAGGTAAGCGCGCACGCCGTAAGGGAGGGGAACCGTCCTCTTCGCGCGCAGTAGTGGGGACGTCGTTGCGGACTCCACGGGTTCCTTCTCTCTCGCGCTCGTGTATTTTCTTCCTCACACTTATGTCCCGTGCAATATATAGTAGTGCATTACAATCTTTGACGCAGCCATCGGTAGGAACGTCTCGCGACGATGGCCTCGAGCAGAAGATCCAAAAACGCAAAGTTTGCAAACTACAATCCAGCAGCAAATCTTTTATTTGCGCGATACAATTTCTCAAGGACTAGATATTAAAGAAACGGTAGAGGTGACATCATTCTTTTGATGATAAGAATACTGGAGAACGTGCGAAGGAAACATTACACCGGATGAGAATATGATATGGAAGGAAATGCGCTAGAAAGAAAGACACATATATCCAAGCTATTTTTTTTATTGATAACTATTCCAACATTACATCTAAACCTAATGCTAACAATTCAGAGTCAATCAATGAATGACGCTCAAATTTTTCATGTTGCTTTTGCATAATCCTTAATTTCAGCATTTTGTATTGTTTGAGCATTCTCGCCCTTTTTGGGTGGAGGTTGTGTCAAAAAAAGTTTGAGCTGCCGATGCACTCTCGAAGTTTTTCTCGTACAAAACGTCTATATTTACTACAGAAACTTAGTCTAAGTAAAGAAATATATACAGAAACTTATGCACTATTTAGAATTATTTACAAAAGTCAGCTAAGTTAGGCGCGCCCGAAGCCTTTGGTTCGAAGCGAAAGCAGTAAAGAAAACCGAAGCGCACGTGGTTCGATTTAGCTTTTAAAGGCAAAGACTTTAAACGAGCGTGCTACACGTAAGCGTTGCCGACAAAAGACTAATTAGCCGGGCGCTCGCACGGAGATTCCCGATTCCTGGAATCTTCTAGAGTTCTTTTGTTCGGCGTCACCCGTCTCTCCCCCCAGCTCCTCCGGCGCACCGTTGGCCAGCGGAGCGACGGAGAGCGACAGCGATAGAGAGAGACGGAGCGAACACCGAACGCTGTTGTCAAAAAAGACGGACCGGTGTTTAAAGTGCGAGGCTCGGCTTACCTTGTCAAGCCATTTAAAGGTGATATGTTTAAAGTTCGAGCAACCGCAGCCGACGTCCGAAGAGTCGAAATTATCGGCTGCTCGAACAGTATTATTTCTATAAACTTGTACTTAGATTCTACCAGGTACAAGTTTTCAGACAGCCTGTACTGTACATGTACGAACTGTACATGTGATCGATACAATATTCGAAAGCAAACAATTTTTGTACGGTTTTTTCACTCATGAACATAGAGACGGTAGAATTTGAGAATTTTGCGAGTTTTACGTCGTTTAGTTGTCGGAGTTTAACTGTTACATCATTATCTATCAGGCGATAGAACGATGTTGCGAACAATGATTGAAAAAATGCGTTTAGACATTTTTATATAACACCCCCCACTCTTTGTTAGATAGACAAAAAAATGCTGAAACAGCAAATCTCCCCTCCCACACACATTTCACTTTCTTATCCACATTTACACATACACATCTTTGCGTAACGCGTGATCTAATTTTTTTATACGTAATAAGACCCTCATCATCGCGGAGTCGTTCTAATGAATTGATACATCAGTGGTGTAATTCCCAAAAATATATATACGTTCTCAGGAAAACATACGAAAACAGCGATACGGAATATGAGAAGATTACGAAAATCTGCAGGCAGTGACATCATAGTAGGGGGATATCATGTGACAAAATCACGTGACCTAGACTATAAAAATTGTGCTGCAGATTGAACTGCATTCAAACCGTTCTGTAGTGACCCCCAGCGAAGAAGTGAGTACAACCATGGAAGAACTCTTGGAAATGGAAAGTCGATTGTTGGACCAGGCCGATCGATTGACTTCGCAAGAAGAATACCTCGCATGGGAAGAACGATGCAACGAGTGCCTCGAGTCGCTGGAAGAACATAGTCGAGCAAAACGTCCTCGATTATCGATCGGCGTTCAACAATCGTTGATCGCTCGTATCGCGCGTCTCGATAGTCTAAAGTATTCGTTGCGCAGACGTTTCGTGTACGAAGGTGCCGGCCATTCAAGCACTGGACTCTTTCGGCGTGAAATAGACACTGCGTTCGAGAGCCGCGTATTAACCAGCGCTGTTTTAAATTCGCACTACATCGAACCGCGTAACTTTCTTCAGGTTGCGAGAGACGTTGTGCTTGAGCATATACGAAAATACTTTTGCAATAGATATGTATATAATAATTCTTTTTCCTTTTCTAAATATGTTATGTTTGAAAAAAAATTTATGTCTTTTTATTGCAGATGCTTGCACTACTTTAGTTCGAGTGAGAAGCTGGAAGCTCACACCGTAGATTGCGAGAAGATGAACGAATGCGCAATCGTATTACCAGATGATGAAAGCAAGTGGCTCAGTTTCGATAACTACATCCGGAAAGAGCGATTTGTGGTGTACGCCGACCTCGAGTGCATTCTGGAGAAAACTGATCGAGAAGCACCAAGATCCACATACCAACATCATAAAGTATTTAATATTGCATATTATGTTCAATGCGCGTACGATTCATCCTTGTCGGTGTACCAATGTCATCGTGATGCGAATTGTGTTTCCTGGTTCGTCAAAGAATTAAAGAATTTGGCACATTTTGTTAAATTAATTTTATCAAATAACATACAAATGGATGATATAACGAGTGAACAGCAGGAGGCATTTCGCAACGCGACGCATTGTCACATTTGCGAAAAACCGTTTGGAGAAAACGATACGAGGGTTCGCGATCATTGCCATCTAACCGGTCGGTACAGAGGTCCCGCGTACTCCAATTGTAATCTAAATTATACAAACTCTTTTTGCATTCCCACAGTTTTTTATAATTTGTCCGGTTACGATTCGCATTTTATTATCGAAGAAATAACTATAGCTTTCGAGGATGCCGTCAGTGTATTGCCGATAACAAAAGAAAAGTACATTTCGTTCACAAAAAGTGTCAAAGATCCAAATGGACCGTCGCGAAATTGTATACAATTGAGATTCATCGATTCATACAAATTCTTGAGTACCAGTCTCAATAAATTAGCGTCTTTCTTAGATAAAAGCAAATTAAGAATTTTACGAACAGAGTTTCAAAATTTGTCTACCGAAGATTTCGAATTATGACGCGAAAGGGTGTTTTTCCGTACGAGTACATTGACTGTGCCGAAAAGTTGGAACAATCATGTTTGCCATCGCGCGAATCATTTTACAGTTCCTTGACGGGTGATACAGTATCGGAGAGCGAGTACGCGCACGCCGAGAACGTGTGGACACGGTTTTCCATTCAAACGCTGGGCGAGTATAGGATTTGTATTTGAAAACAGATGTCTTGCTGTTGGCCGATATTTTTGAAAATTTTCGTGAAAGCTGTACAACAAGTTACGGACTTAATCCCGCGTATTATTACACTCTGCCGGGTTTTACGTGGGATGCCATGCTGAAGCATAAAAAAGTTAATTTCGAATTACTAACAGATATCGACATGGTCCTGTTTATCGAATGCTGTATACGCGGCGGATTAAGTCAATGTTCAGGTAGATACGCGAAAGCCAATAATAAGTACATGCAGTCGTACGATCCATCGACAGCATCGTCGTACTTGATGTACTTTGATGTGAATAATCTGTATGGGTGGGCAATGTGTCAACCACTGCCATATGCAGAATTTCGATGGGTCGACAACGTTACAAACTTTGACGTATCTTCGATTGCTGCCGATTCGCCTACGGGTTATATTCTAGAGGTTGATCTAGAATATCCCCAACGCTTGCACGACATTCACGCGGACCTGCCGTTCTGTCCCACACGTGCCAAACCACCTGGCAAAAGAGAGGACAAGCTGCTGCAACTCTATACGATAAGCAGCGCTACGTTATCCACTATCGTAACCTGGAGCAATGCACGCGACATGGAATTCGTATTACAAAGATACACCGCGTCCTCCAATTCGCACAAACACCCTGGCTCCGCGATTACATCGAATTAAATACAAAGTTTAGAACTCTCGCTACAAACTATTTTGAAAAGAATTTGTATAAATTGATGAACAATGCGGTATTTGGCAAAAGTATGGAGAATGTACGCAATCACGTCGATGTAAAATTAGTAACAAAATGGGAAGGGAGGTACGGAGCGGAAGCCCTTATTTCAAACCAAATTTCCACAGTCGTAGCGTGTTTTCGGAAAACTTAGTTGCCATCGAACTGCGAAAGCTTGCGATGAAGTTCAACAAACCAATCTATGTGGGTATGTGTAGACTAGATATATCTAAGGTTTGTTTGTATGAATTCCATCACGATTACATGTTACCCACATATGACGATAAATGTAAAGTTATGTACACCGATACGGATAGTTTAATTTACCACATCGAGTGCGAGAATATTTATGATACTATAAAACGCGATATTAATCGATTTGACACCAGCGATTATCCGGTAGGGAACGTTTACGATATACCGCTTGTAAACAAAATAGTCCTCGGTTTGATGAAAGACGAAAACAAGGGGGCAATAATGACAAATTTGTTGGACTCAGAGCGAAAATGTATGCACTGCGTGTAGATGGTAAAAAAGATACGAAAAAGGCGAAAGGTGTAAAAAGTAACGTTGTTTCCAGTATGATAGCTTTCGACGACTAGACGCAGTGCCTACGAAACGAAATTGAAATGACTCGTAATCAGACATGTATAAGATCAAAATTACACAAAGTATACACAATGGCGGAATCAACAATCGCTCTGAGTCCGTACGACGATAAGCGGTATATCGTAACCGACTCAACGGATACATTGCCGTGGGGTCATTATAAAATACCGCTTTAGATATATCAGTACATGTATTTTGTAAATAATTTTTACCTCGATTTTAATAGATGTACATATATATTTAGTTGTAAATAAAAAAAAAACATTGTAATGGAATTAATAATGCTAGTATATGTATAAAATTGAATATTTAATTTAAAAAATGTTAATTTTTTACAATACATTATCTTTATTTATCCATGAATTGTGTGCACTATTCAATCCTAACCATTTCACGTACACCTTATTCCCTTTCCGACGTAACACTTTTTCCACAAGGTACACATCAGCGTCGGCAACGCGTTGCAACTCGTGTTCGTAGAATCCTCCAGCAATTGGTTTTCCATAAACATCTTTCAACAGATACGTTGCGGGATTAGTTTTCTGAACCTCAGCGATCGTAAATATTTCAGTACCCCAATTAGGTGTGTAATCTTTTTCAAAAATTGTTTTGAATTTGCTCACACGTACCGTATCTCCCACTCTGAATCGTGCGGGAGCGGCAATCTTTACGTGATTATATACTGTTGTTAAGAGCTTCGAGGCGTTTGTTGGTGTAACGTCAATTGGTCGCATGCCGATAGTTCAATGCTTACGCGCGTTGTAATTTGATATGAGTTGCTGCATCGAGTCGATCTATTTATAACTTCCATTAAGCGTAAACAGTTTCCACATGTCGTTTTTGAGTGTATGACTGAACTGCTCGACGACTGACGCTTTCATCACTGAATACGTTGAATAATGATTTATGTTGTATTTTGACAAAAGTTTTTGCACATTTGCGTTGTAAAATTCCTTTCCTTTGTCGGTTTGCAAATTTTTCGGATACCTTCCACTGTTTCGGATTATTTTTCTGATCGCTGTAGAAACTTCATTTCCACTCATGAGTTTTGAGGGGTGTGGCCCATGCATGCTTACTCAGCACATCGATAACAGTGAGTATGTAATGGAAGCCTCTGTTATACCGCGCGTAAGGTCGCATCTCGACCACGTCCGCTTGCCATAAGTCGTCGTACCCGTGTATTATGACGCGTCTTCGGGGAAAATTTCTTCTCGCCGGAGCATACAATTCTTCCACGAAACGCCGTTTCTCGGTACTAGGAGTTTTCTTCGCAGTCATGTATGACTCGACACTGATGCAAAGACTTGACGTACACGTCTTATCAAACATCAAATCAGTGCTCAACGCAACGGTTGGTTGGTCGATCGGTCGGTTGACCGGTATGTCGGTTGGTTGGTCGATCGGTCGGTTGACCGGTATGTCGGTCGGTTAATCGGTCGGTTGACCGCTCTGTTGATCGCTATGTCGGTCGGTAAATAGGCTCAATGTCCAGCTATTGATGTGTCTGCATTAGATTTCAGAATTCGGTAATATCTTTCTCTAATTTATTCAGCTCATCTTTCAAGCTCTGAACGAAATTTTGAAACATAATCATCTTTTTGTCGAATACGTCTTGTCGACTTTTTATAACTGCCATGTTTTCATGCAAGTACAGCTTGTTGATAGCATCGCCATCCTCTATAGGCGGTGCTACCCATCGAATCCTGCGCGACTTTGCGTCATAATTGGTGCCGACAACACAAAGAGCGTTGTCGCGTACATAATTTCCGACTACTCCATTCCAATGATAGTATGATTCCATTCTTCCAATCGATGACCCAAACTTGTTGATTGACATTTTAATGACGATTGACTGTATCGCCAAGGTGCAGCTCAATTTATAATGAATCCTGCCTCGCGAAGTTCCTCGATAATCGATTGCATCTCATTGTCGTGAGCATTGTGACCGGCTTGACGCGAAGCCTCGAGCAATCGAAGCCGATCTACGAGTTCGTTGGGATCGTTCCAGTGAACGTAATCAATGTTGTTTTTGGTTAATCTCATGAAACACGGTATGCCTTTTCCAACTTTTTTATCTTGCAATAAAGGTTTGATTACATGGTTATACTTGTATCCTCTGTTGCCTAATGTTTGACCATACGAATTGTGCTTGTGCTTATGCGCACTCGTTGTCAGTAGTATGCCCCTGTATTTGCGTTCATCAGCCTCAGTGTAAATGTCGTTATCCGGAGTTTTCTTGAATATCAGTTCATAAAGGTCGGGTGTCTCCGAATATCGTATGCCATCGATAATTACGTTATCCGCATTGTCCACGTCAACATGTTTGTTACCGAGCATCAGTCCATCATTGGTGAGATAAACACCGTACACGTAATCCATACCAACGTCTACGTCACCGCGTAATACAGGTGCGATGTATTTTTGACTCAGTGGACCTAGATGATTACGTACCGTTTCTTCGCCTTCCGGCGTTTGCAATTGGCTTCGAACAGATGTCGAGAAATAGCTGTTTGGACTTTCAAAAACATCTTCGTTTGCTAAGCGTTTTGTTGTTGTTGGTATTGTCTTAATCGGTGTAGAGTACGGTATAGAGGCTATCAGGTTCATATCGGGTAAACTGCTTAATCTTGATTTTTTTATATTTGGCGGTTTCGAGAAATTTAACCACAAATTTAATTGTATTTTATCTGATTCCTTGATATTCGGAGTGGATAATGGTTCGCTTCCGATATCTGTGTTATGTCGATCAAAAGAAAATCTTCCTCGGTCTCCAGGGTACCGATTCTTACAGATAAACGTCGTCTTCCACGAATCGGCAACTTTTCTCCTGACACCGAATACAAGAATACGCGAAAATCTTCTTTCTCTCCCGCCGCGCGAACTAGATCTTCTTTAGTGAACTTCTTCAGGTTCACCGATGAGCCCGTGTCGATGACAAGGTCGGTTTCATGTCCATCGATGCATCCTCTTACGTGAGTGGAATCTCCCATCAGATGAATCTTCCGCACGACGGGGGTGTAGGGAAAAGAAGTCGAAGGTTCCCCCTCTACGTCGACTTCTTCAAGTTTCCCTTCTTTTCTTTTAAATTTTTAGGGCAATCCCACTGGAAATGTCCTGTTTCCCTGCAATTCCAACATTCCACAGAATTTTTGAACTTGTTCTTCTTCTCAGGAGGGTTTCTTTCTGCAGTATGTGCTTTTCTCTTCCGAGAATCTTCTTCATGAGTGGGAAATGATTTAAAGACCTGTTCTTGTCTTGGTCGGGGTGTCGAGACTGCCTCGACAGCCTCAATTTCGAGCGCCCTGATAACCGTGGCCCGAAGAGAAATAAAACCACCGAGTCTCAAAGCCCGTTTCATCTCCTCATTGCCCAACGCGGTAAGGAATTGAGAGGTCGCAAGTTTATCTTTAATTTCTGGAGAACACTCACTAAACGCACCCTGTGCCAGTCTTTCGATCTCTGTGGCCAATTCAGAAATAGACTGCCCTCTCTGTTGCTTGTAATTTTGGAACTTTACATAATTCAGATTGGCAAAATTTTTAATTCCATATCGGAATTCTAAAGGCGAAATTAACGACTCGTAATCGTAACGTTTGTCAGCAGGTAGAGCAGTTAAAACACTTCGTGCCGGTCCCTCTAACGATGAAACCAAAGCCAAGGCTCTCTTTTGAACTTTATATTCTTCCCAGTCCGATCCTCCGTCGAAAACCGAGGGTTTTAGAGTGTAACCCAAATCAGAAACATTACCATTTTCTCTATTCTGTCCCTGAGGTACCGGTTGTGAAGTTGAAGGGTCCACGAGCCTGGCAGAAGGCTCGTGTTCTCTTTCACGGGGCAGAGTCTCCGATAATTTTTCTAACAACTGTGTAAAATTGGAAGATAGCACCTGGTATTGACTCTCGATGGCACCGATTCTGCCCTCAAAGGCAGCTTCCCTCGTTGAAGTAGCTGTTCTCTCTGCAGACTGTCTCTCTTCGGCCCTCACTCGTTCCTGCTCCCACCTGGAGTCGAACATCCTCTGTTGTTCTTGGAACTGCGAAGAGATGCTCTGCTGCAAACTCTGGAACAGCCCTTCCAACGACGCAGGAGCCTTTTCCCCGGCAGAAGAACGTGTTGCCATCCCACTTCTGACACCAATGTTGCGCCCGGGGGTGGTGCCGTATCGAGGAATAGTCATTTTAAATAACTAA